CTTTTCGTTGATAACAGTAACAAGAATAATAGAAATTACTATAAGATGCCAATTTTGTAGAGGAACAATCGAAATTAACTTTAGAAAAAAACGTTGAAACTGGATGCCAGAATTTGGCAACAGTTATACAGCAGCAGTGACAACACAATTATAGGTATACATTTTTGGTACATCAAATACCTGGCTTTGGCAAAACTAATTGACCCAGTAATAAGTTATTGGCACCAAACTTTCAGCAGTCTCTTATACAGCAAAAGAAAACCTCAAAAATAATGCAAAAAATATTCTTTTCAATTTTATTCAGTAAACGATCAAAAAAAAACTTCTACTAACACTGACATAGAAATATTGTAAAAATTGACAACTTTTTTGGTGACAATTTAACTTGTTACTCAACCCAATCAGAAAAAAAACAGTTTCTAAAACAAACAAAGAAAAAAAACTGGAAGAAAAATAATACTGTTAGTGGTCAACGAAATATTCGTTTAAACAATTAATTTTTCTTCAAATAGATCAAATTGCCCAAAATATTAACTGCTCCGACTATACGATGCCGTACACGTTTCACCGTCGTTGCCCTGTTCGCAAAAAAGGCTTCGATGGGTCAATGCTTCCGCTGAGTACCCGTTTTTAAAATTCTCCTAAAAACTATCATCATTTTTTCCCTTCAAATTTTCACCCTTTATTTTTGTAGGAGAGAACGTCAAAAATTAACATTGAACAAACAGCAGCTATGATGTTGAATAAAATTTTGCAACTAAAGCCATTGTCTTCCAAAAATTATCAAAAACCAACTATTCCCCATCTACTTTAGATTCTGTTTGATAAAACAATCATTTAGTACCCTATTAAACAAAAAAGAGAAAAAAACAAAACAAAAATTAGTAACCGGTATTTGCTTACTTTGAAAGGTCGCATATCCCGAAGATACTGAGCACATTGAACAACAACAATTAAAAACCAAATATGTATGACAGCAGCAACTGACAACGCTACCACAACAAAGCCCGAAAGCAATGGAACAACTAAATGTTCTGTTTTATTTAACAAATTCTCAAAAACATTAACTACAGTTCGATGCATTAGAAACTGAAAAATGTAAAAATAGTAACAAACACCAAAACTGTTACCGTTTTTCTGTTGTACAGAAAGAAGCTCAGCGGCTTGTTGATTCCTATCACCCAATTGCATTTCAACGTATTCTCCGGCATAAGAATGAGAATCGTATACAGCTGATGCGAAGAACAATGTCAAAAGTATTAAAAATGAGATCGTTACAATCTAAAAATTTATTTATTTATTTTGGATATATTTGGCAAAAAAAGAGTACTGTAAATGCCATCAGTAAAGGTGAGAAAACAACTTATAAAAACAAAAAAAAACAGCCAACTTATTTCAAAAGTTGAAAAGTCTTTTATCTACATAAATGAGCATTGTATTTTTTTCTAATTCCTCAAAAATTTTTGATACTTTTTTATTCCATTATTTTCGCTGTAGACTGC